CAGCACTGGTGGCCCTGATGTCCCAGAAAGAGCAATAATACTTCTGGATGTATTTATGTTCTTTTCTTCTTTTCTTTTGAGATAGGGTTTCACTCTGTCACCCAGGCTAGAGTGCAGTGGTGTGATCCCGGCTCACTGGAGCCTCGACCTCTGGGGTGGAAGTGATCCTCCCACCTCAGCCTCTTGAGTAGCTGAGGCTACAGGCATGCACCACCACACACCTGGCCAACTGTTTTTTAACAATTAGGTGATTTTGTATTTTTTTTACATAGACAGGGTTTCACCATGTTGCCCAGGCTGGTCTTGAACTCTTGGGCTGAAGCAATCCTCTCACCTCAGCCTCCCAAAGTGCTGAGATAACAGGAGTGAGCCCTTGCACCTAGCCTGGATGTATTTCTTTTCTTTCTTTTTTTTTTTTTTGAGACAGAGTCTCGCTCTGTCACCTAGGCTGGGATGCACTGGCACGATCTCGGCTCACTGCAACCTCCACCTCCAGGGTTCAAGTGATTCTCCTGGCTCAGCCTCCTGAGTAGCTGGGACTACAGGCTCCTGCCACCACGCCCGGCTAATTTTTTTGTATTTTTAAAAGAGAAGGGTTTCACTGTGTTGGCCAGGCTGGTCTTGAACTTCTGACCTCAGGTGATCCGCCTGCCTCGGCCTCCCAAAGTGCTGGGATTACAGGCATGAGCCACCGCGCCCAGCCTGGATGTATTCACTTTTTACCTGATGAGTCCCTTTCCAGAGCGCTGCCCATCATGGTCATTTGGACATTTATTTTCATGGCTGCCTTCTCACCTATCTCAGCCTAAGAAGAAGGATAAAGAAAGAACTAATAATGATCTTTTTAAAGGGGAGCTGATAATGGTCTCTTTAAAGGGGAGAAAGCCTAGAAAAATTCTACTGAGTCAGACTTCATGAATGTATCTGCTACCTCTTCCCGTTCTTGATCAAGCCCCAGTGGTGTTAAAAAGGAGTGTGTATGACAGTTACACACTCCCGACTTTATATTTGGACTTTGTCTTTCTTTGATATCAAATGTTAGCAAGGTGATAGTGCATGTGCCTCCAGCATTGAGCTGCCATTTCTGTTCTCAGCCTCTCCGTTTATTCCCCTTTGCTCACCGCTTATTTTTATTTCTTCATCCCTTCTTTCCATTTAGCCCTGCTCCACCCAAATGCCCCCCTCCACTTTCCCGGCCACCTTGAGCTTTCCTCTAGCCCCCAACACTGAGTTGAATGCTCTTCACTGACATCATCTGATATAAAAACACAGTGTCGTCACAATTTCCCAGGTGCATGTCTTTTTTTTTTTTTTTTTTTTGTAAGGCTGGGTGCAGTGGTGCAATCACAGCTCACTGTAGACTGGAACTATTGGGCTTAAGCTACCCTCCCACTTCGGCCCCCTGAGTAGCTGGGATGACAGGTGTGCACCATCACACCTGGCTAGTTTTTTTAGTTTTTTGTAGAGACAGGGTCTTGCTATGTTGCCCAGGTTGCTGTCAAACTCCTGGCCTCAAGAAATCCTTCCACCTTGGCCTCCCAAAGTGCTAAGATGCCACCACAGCTTGCTTCAGGGTTTTTTGTTGTTGTTGTTGTTGTTGTTGTTGTGTTTTGTTTTGTTTTTTTTGACACAGGGTTACTGTTACCCAGGCTGGAGTGCAGTGCTATGAACACAGCTAACTGTAGCCTCAACCTCCTGGGCTCAAACAATACTCCCATCTCAGCCTCCCTAGTAGCTGGGACCACAGGCATGTGCCACCACACCACCCTATTTTTCGTGGAGACAGGCTGGTCTTGAACTCCTGGCCTCAAGATCCTCCCACCTCAGCCTCCCAAAGTGCTGAGATTACAGGCATGAGCCACTGCACCTGGCCTGAGTCTTTTTTTTTTGAGACGGAGTTTCGCTCTGTCGTCCAGGCTAGAGTGCGGTGGCGCGATCTCGGCTCACTGCAACCTCTCCCTCCCAGGTTCAAGCGATTCGGCCTGAGTCGTCTTAATACCCCCATTCAAAAAAGGGGATGGAGACTGACAATTTGTAATTTGTTCAAAGTCAGACAGCTGCAGTTGGGACTGCAGCACAGACAGGTACCAGAAGATGAGCTGGGACAATGTGTGCTTGTGACCGCCTCTCCAGTCACTGGTTCCCATGGTAGGTAGTGCTGTCCTTAACAGTTTGCCCTTCCTGAGCCCCAGCCATCCCTCTCGGAGTCTTTCCCAAGCACTTTAGAAGCTCCTCTTGATGTAGACACAAAATCTAGAGCTAAGTCGTTGTTCCTCTGTCTGCATCTGAGTCAATGTGGGAAATTTTTTCTTTATCTCATTGCTTTATTCTGCCCTGTTACTCCAGAGATTTCCACACTGGTTCCAGAGGAACCAGTCAGTAGACACTATTCTAAGAGAGTATGTGGGTGTGAAATCCCATTTTCCTTTTAGCTCCCTTAACTGTTATACAGCAAGTAAAAGAAGTCTTGGGTTGGCCGGGCACAGTCACTCACACCTATAATCCTAGCATTTTGGGAAGCCAAGGCAGGCGAATCACTTGAAGTCAGGAGTTCGAGACCAGCCTGGCCAACATGGTGAAACCCCATCTCTACTAAAAATACAAATATTAGCCAGGCATGGTGGCAGACACCTGTAATCCCAGCTACTTAGGAGGCTGGGGCAGGAGAATCGCTTGAACCTGGAGGCGGAGGTTGCAGTGAGCCAAGCACGAACCATTGCACTCCAGCCTGGGTGACAAGAGTGAGACTGTCTCAAAAAAAAAAAAAAAAAATTGCTGAATGGTGGCAATTCAGGCGAGAAATGATGGTCCAGATCCTAGAACAGTCCCTAGAACACTAAATTGTTTGTTCATGCAATGAGTGTCCTGGAAGTCAAGGGACTGCAGAACATTTCCAGGAGGACCATTTCTTTCTTTCTTTCCTTTTTTTTTTTTTCTTCTTTTGAGACAGAGTCTTGCTCTGTCATCCAGGCTGGAGTGCAGTGGCACAACCTCAGCTCACTGCAACCTCTGCATCCCGGGTTCAAGCGATTCTCCTGCCTCGGCTTCCTGAATAGCTGGGACTACAGGCGCGCACCACCACACCCAGCTAATTTTTATATTTTTAGTAGAGACGGGGTTTCACCATATTGGCCAGGCTGGTCTCGAACTCCTGACCTCATGATCCACCTGCCTCAGCCTCCCAAAGTGCTGGGATTACAGGCATGAGCCACTGCACCTGGCCAGATATTTGTTTTTTTAAATACGAGTTCTCACTCTGTCACCCAAGCTGGAGTGCAGTGGCATAATCATAGCTCACTGCATCCTCTTAACTCCCATGCTCAAGAGATCCTCCCACCTCAGCCTTCCTAGTAGCTGGGACTACAGGGCCAGCCACCCAGCCTGGCTGATTCTATGAAATATTTTGAGGAGATGAGGAAGGGTGGTATCTTTCAAAGTTCAAAGTGATTTTGGAATATAAACAATTTCTTTGGGTTGAATTACATAGAAGTTTATCATTAACTTATGTTCCTGAACTATGAAACATGAATATGTGGGCAAAGAAATAGTTTATCTTGATAGACAATAACAAAAACAAAGTGTATGAATTAGAGAATGTCCATGCCTTTTTAGGCTGGGCGCAGTGGTTCATGCCTGTAATCCCACCACTTTGGGAAGCCAAGGTGGGCAGGTCACTTGAGGCCAGGAGTTCAAGATCAGCCTGGCCAACATGGCAAAACCCCGTCTCTACAAAAAATACAAAAATTAGCCGGGCATGGTGGTGCGCACCTGTAGCCCCAGCTACTTGGGAGGCTGAAGTGGGAGGACTGCTTGAGCCTGGGAGGCTAAGTAAAGTTGCAGTGAGCTGCGATCACACCACTGCACTCCAGCCTGGGCTACAAAGCAAGACTCTGTCTCAAAAAAATAAAATAATAATTTTTTTTAAGTTCATGTATTTTTAAGTGTTCTCTAGATCTAGCCACACAGTATAATTTTAGGGTGACAAGTTGAGCTGAGTTGGGTGGAGGTGGCGAGCAGAAATCAAAGTGGGTGGATGTCAGGAAGAGAAGGTGGCAGTGAAGGAGCACTGTGATAAGGAGGTTTTGTTATTCCTTAATGGAGCTATCTCAGTCCACCAGAGGGAAAGCCTTGAAAGGCACATGGCCTTAGATGGCTGTCACTCTTTTTTTTTTTTTTTTTCTTTTTTTTGAGACGGAATCTCGCTCTGTCGCCCAGGCTGGAGTGCACTGCAAGCTCCGCCTCCCGGGTTTACGCCATTCTCCTGCCTCAGCCTCCCGAGCAGCTGGGACTACAGGCACCCGCCACCTCCCTCGGCTAGTTTTTTGTATTTTTTAGTAGAGACGGGGTTTCACCGTGTTAGCCAGGATAGTCTGGATCTCCTGACCTCGTGATCTGCCCGTCTCGGCCTCCCAAAGTGCTGGGATTACAGGCTTGAGCCACCGCGCCCGGCCGGCTGTCACTCTTGAATGCATAGGCTGTGCTAGCTAAACTTAGAGTTATTAAAGAATTGAGCCCGGTGTGGTGACTCGCTCCTGTAGTCACAGCTACTGGGGAGGCTGAGGCAGGAGGGTTGCTTGAGCCCAGGAGGTCCAGGCTGCAGTGAGCTATGATGGTGCATTCCACTGCACTCCAGCCTGGGTGACACAGCAAGACCCCATCTCAAAAAAAAAAAAAAAAAGAAAAAAGAAAAAGAAAAAAAAGAATTGAGGGAAGGCAAACAGCTCTTTGTCCTGATCATATGCTTGGCCAAATTCCTTGGACCGGGGTTTAGGGAAAGATGGGAGTGCGGTGAGAACTGGCTTCGAAGCAGGAGGGCTGCAAGTCCCATGATGCACCGGAGGAATCTGGTCTCGAGGCTGGCCAGCTCCAAAGGGCAAATGCTGTTACCCCCGCCCCGCCCAAGGTGGCCTCTGCCGGCGCCCAAATAGGTGTGGCTGCGGGGAGGCCCCGCCCCCAGAACGCTTCTCCAATGGGAGCTGCCCTCGTGTCCATGGCAACGGCGGTGGCCACAGGCTTGCTTAAGGAAGCGCTGCCCCTGCTGCCGCCGCCACGGCCGCCGGGAGCTAGGAGTGAACCCCTGCGGGGGAGGAGGTTCCCCCTCGCGATCGTGGGGACAGCCAGTCCTGTGAAACGAGGAGGCGGTTCCGGAGGCCCAGAAACGCCCAGGGAGAACTGGAGCCGGGGGAAGAGGGGACATGAGCGGCCAGCTGAGTGCAGCCCCAGGCCGCTAGGGGCGGACCCAGCAGTCCCTCAGCTCTCCTCGGAACCATGGGTGGGCAGTCTCCACTGTCACAGCCCAAAGGGTCTTAGCCATCGGGTGCCTCTCCCTAATGTGTACACGTGCAGAAAATGAGTCCTGGGACAGGGAAAGGGCCAGCATAGGGGGCTTTTGGTCTTCGGCTGTATTTTATTTTATCTATTTATTTATTTAAAGACTCTTGCTCTGTCGCCCAGGCTGGAGTGCAGTGGTGTGATTTCGGCTCACTGCAACCTCCACCTGCCAAATTCAAGTGATTCTGTTGCCTCAGCCTCCCGAGTAGCTGGGATTATAGGCAACACACCACCACGCCCAGCTAATTTTTGTATTTTTAGGAGAGAAGGGGTTTCGCCATGTTGATCAGGCTGGTCTCCAACTCCTGACCTCAAGTGATCTACCCGCCTCAGCTTCCCAACGTGCTGGGATTACAGGTGTGACCTACTGCACCTGGCCTTCAGCTGTATTGTAGTGTAGTGTAGTGTAGTGTAGTGTAGTGTAGTGTAGTGTAGTGTAGTGTATTTTTTGAGATGGGGTCTCGCTCTGTTGCCCAGGCTGGAGTGCAGTGGTGCGATCTCAGCTCACTGCAACCTCTGCTTCCCGGGTTCAAGCTATTCTCCTGCCTCACCCTCCCGAGTAGCTGGGACTACAGGCAAGTGCCACCACACCCAGCTAATTTTTTGCATTTTTAGTAGAGACGGGGTTTCACATTGGTAGCCAGGATGGTCTCCATCTCCTGACCTCGTGATCCACCCACCTCGGCCTACCAAAGTGCTGGGATTACAGGCGTGAGCCACCGCGCCTGGCCAATTCAGCTGTATTTTAAAGCGAAGGTCCCCCCAGCACTCCCAGCCATCCTCCTTCCCAATCAGGTACAAAAGAGCCATGTTCATGGCCCGTACCATCTGTGTCCAACTACTGAAGGCACCCCTGTGCATTGCATGATCCAGTGTGATCCTGGATGATTGGGGCTTGTCATCAGGGAATCCACATCTCACTGGTATCTTCCACTCCCATGCACCTCCACCTACCTGGACACATCCCATTCCTCAGTGAAACTGTTTTGTCCTGAAGGGGCAGCAACATTCCTTTAAAACAGCATGAAGGTCGTTCTGGTGGATTCCTTCAGGCCTTCTAGGGCCTGAGGGAGGTCTGATATACACTTCATTCCCACCTCCCAACCCCTCAGAATCTGAGAGAATGGAGCCGAGTACCTGTAGGACCAGCGAATCAGAGGAAGACTATGTTGAGGAAAAGGAATCTGAGAAATGTGTTAAAGAGGAAGCTACCATCCCCTCTAACTCTTCACAGCAGGCTCTCTTAAAAGCTGACTATAAGGCATTAAAAAATGGGGTTCCCTCACCCATTATAGCCACAAAAATTCCGAAGAAAGTCATAGCCCCAGTTGACACAGGCGACTTAGAAGCTGGGAGGAGGAAGAGAAGGCGGAAACGCAGGTAACTATTCCCTAGATCCCCTCAACTGCCCAGCTCCAGGGAGTCACCCACTGGCCTCCCTTCAACATTTGGGGGAGCTGGGATCTAAGATCTTCCCTTTAGCCTACAAAAGAGGACAGGAAATGCTGGAGCATCATTAACTCTTTGATACAACACAAACAAAATTCAGAACTATTTAGGCTGGTTCATTTTGGAATCCCAGCCTGTTTACATCGTCCTGGTCTTTCTTTTAAGCCGATTCTAGAGGAAAGGAATTGTGTTGTTAATTTGTTGGATGTCTCTTCGTCTGGGTGCCTGTCCTTCCCTCCCACTCTGCCTGATTTATGCTATTCCTCCATTCTAGATCCCTGGCCATCAACCTGACCAACTGCAAGTATGAGAGTGGTAAGCACTCAGCCCGTCGCTCACACTATGGTGCATAACAGGGTGCCTACAGCTGCTGCTCTTCCTCTGGAATAGACCCCCGATCAGGCTTCCAGCCCCTGGGGCCTGGCAGGCTTGCCTATAACCTGTACTGAGCTTCCTAGGTGTCCTCTGCCTCAGACACTGGCAGCTGAGACATTGCTGTTCCAGGCAGTCTCAGTGTTAGGGAGGGTATCTTCACAGTAAACAAGAAAAAAAAAAAAAAAGTCCAAGAGCCACCACTCACCACTGCCCACCCTTCCCAGATTCTATTTATTTATTTTTGAGACAGAGTCTTGCTTTGTCATCCAGGCTGGAGTGCAGTATTGCAATCATAGCTTAATGCAGCTTTGAACTCCTGAGCTCAAAGCCATCTTCCTACCTGAGCTTCCCACTAGCTGGGCCTACAGGCCTGCACCACTATGCTCAGCTAATTCTTTTTATTTATTTATTTATTTATTTATTTATTTATTTATTTATTTATTTTTGAGACCAAGTTTCACTCTTGTTGCTCAGGCTGGAATGCTATGATGTGATCTCGGCTCACTGCAACCTCCACCTCCCAGGTTCAAGTGATTTTCCTGCCTCAGCCTCCCAAGTAGCTGGGATTACAGGCATGTGCCACCACACCTGGCTAATTTTGTACTTTTAGGAGAGACAGGGTTTCTCCATGTTGGCCAGGATGGTCTCGAACTCCTGACCTCAGGTGATCCACCCACCTCGGCCTCCCAAAGTGCTGGGTTTACAGGCATGAGCCACCGTGCCCAGCCTGCCCAGCTAATTCTTAAATGTTTTGTAGAGACAGAATCTTGCTATGTTGCCCAGGCTGGTCTTGAACTCCTGGGCTCAAGTGATCCTCCAACTTCAGCTTCTCAAAGACCTGGCATAACAGGCAGGAGCCACCATGCCAGACCCTTCCCAGATTTTACCAGTGATGAGACAAGCTTAAAAGTTTTTTCAAGGAAGATTTGAAGGGACTTCAACAATTAAGAAAAAAAGAAAATCTCCAGCTAGGTCCTTCCCCTAATATTCCCTCTGGCATCTTTATAAGGAGCCACCCAAGTGTGGAGTATGAAGTGCCAGTGTGGCCCCTACCTATAGGCGGTTCTCCAAGCCACAAACATCCCTAATTGAGGGATAAGACTGACAGAAGCAGCCGGGCACGGTGGCCTACTCCTGTAATCCCAACACTTTGGGATACCAAGGCAGGCGAATCTCCAGAGGTCAGGAGTTCAAGACCAGCCTGGCCAACATGGTGAAACCTCATCTCTACTAAAAATACAAAAATTTCCCAGGCGTGTTAGTGGGCTCCTGTAGTCCCAGCTATTGGGGAGGCTGAAGCATGAGAATCGCTTGAACCTGGGAGGCGGAGGTTGCAGTGAGCAGAGACCGCGCCATTGCACTCCAGCCGGGGCAACGAGGGAGAAACTCTGTCTCAAAAAAACAAACAAACAAAACCAGGTTCTAGTTTTCTCTGCTAGGTATTTTGGAAGGGCCCTAACAGCCCCTAAGAACTTGAAATTGCCATGTGGTAACTAAAGTACGGGGCTGAGGCGAGAACTACCTCCCTCTTCAACCTGCCCTCAGGTCAGGTGTATACCTTACCTGACCCAGCTACACAGTTCCAGGGCTAGTTGCTGGTGTCCATGCTGGCACCACTGATCTCCCTGTCTCTGCAGTGCGTCGGGCAGCCCAAATGTGTGGCCTGAAGGAGGTGGGGGAGGATGAAGAGTGGACTCTGTACTGGACAGACTGCTCTGTCTCGCTGGAACGAGTCATGGACATGAAGAGGTTTCAGGTACCCATCTCCTGGCCCGAGAGCCTACAGGGGCTAGGGCCCCAGAATGACTTTTCCCACCTCCTTCCCCAGGCACCCAAGACTGCTACTCTTTGTGGCTGTCCCCTTGTGCAGACAGGAAAGAGCACCCCCAGGGTCTTCTTTTCCAGTGGAAAGATCTCCTCTTGGAGATCTTGGGTTTCTGGAATTACCGGAAGGAAGTGTCTGGTGGGCACATCCTATCTCATTATTTGTGCTTTGCTTGGTGGCATCTGTGTGTAGCTGGCCCTCTCCAGGGTGGGTGAGCTCATCTTAGGGAGAATACTGGGAGGCAGCTTCAGAGCTAACAGCAGAGCCAGCTGAATGATCCAGCCTTCTAAGCAACTTAGCTTAACATTCCACATCCATTAGGAGACTGCAGGGTCCAGCCTGGTGGCAAGAAATTCAGGAATGATCCACTGGGGTCCATAAGAATAGAACTGCCTTGTGATATTTTTATTTTTATTTTATTTATTTATTTATTTATTTTTTATTTTTTATTTTTTTTTTTTTTGAGACGGAGTCTCGCTGTGTCTCCCAGGCTGGAGTGCGGTGGCGTGATCTCGGCTCACTGCAAGCTCCGCCTCCCGGGTTCACGCCATTCTCCCGCCTCAGCCTCCCAAGTAGCTGAGACTACAGGCGCCCGCCACCACGCCCGGCTAGTTTTTTGTATTTTTAGTAGAGACGGGGTTTCACCATGTTAGCCAGGATAGTCTCGATCTCCTGACCTCGTGATCCACCTGCCTCGGCCTCCCAAAGTGCTGGGATTACAGGCTTGAGCCACCGCGCCCGGCATGATCCAGCCTTCTAAGCAACTTAGCTTAACATTCCACATCCATTAGGAGACTGCAGGGTCCAGCCTGGTGGCAAGAAATTCAGGAATGATCCACTGGGGTCCATAAGAATAGAACTGCCTTGTGATATTTTTATTATCCTCTAATTGGGTGTTTGTGGTGATCAGCAATAAAATAATTTAAAAGGGTCTGCAGGCTTATTCTTTGGGGAAGCCAGGCAGGAAGTTGAGGAAATTAAAACCTGTCCCACAACTAGTCTTGGGAGAGGTGCCCAAGAGAGAAAGCAAGTGCTAGAAGTTCTCAAGAAGCTCCAAAGGAGGTTGGGCGTGGTGGCTCACACCTGTAATCTCACCACTTTGGGAGGCCGAGGCGGGTGGATCACTTCAGGTCAGGAGTTCGCTTGAACCCAGAAAGTGGAGGTTGCAATGATCAGAGATCATGCCACTACACTCCAGCCTGGGTGAGTGACAGAGTGAGACCCTGTTTTAAAAATAAAAAAACAAGGCCAGGCATGGTGGCTTATGCCTGTAATCCTAACACTTTGGGAGGCCGAGGCAGGCAGATCACGAGATCAGGAGTTCAAGACCAGCCTGACCAACATGGTAAAACCCCATCTCTACTAAAAATACAAAAATTAGCCAGGCATGGTGGCACACACTTGTAATCCCAGCTACTTAGGAGGCTGAGGCAGGAGGATCGCTTGAACCAGGGAGGAGGAGATTGCAGTGAGCCAAAATTGCGTCATTGCACTCCAGCCTGGGCAACAGAGCGAGACTCCATCTCAAAAAAAAAAAAAAAAGTTCCGCCGGGCACGGTGGCTCAAGCCTGTAATCCCAGCACTTTGGGAGGCCGAGGCGGGCGGATCACAAGGTCAGGAGATCGAGACCATCCTGGCTAACACGGTGAAACCCCGTCTCTACTAAAAATACAAAAAACTAGCCGGGCGAGGTGGCGGGCGCCTGTAGTCCCAGCTACTCGGGAGGCTGAGGCAGGAGAATGGCGTAAACCCAGGAGGCGGAGCTTGCAGTGAGCCGAGATCGCGCCACTGCACTCCAGCCTGGGGGACAGAGCAAGACTCCGTCTCAAAAAAAAAAAAAGTTCCAAAGGAGGGGCATTTGTAAAATGAGGATAGCAGGCTGGGTACAATGGCTCATGCCTAAAATCCCTTTGGGAAGCCAAAGCAGGCAGGTTGCTTGAACTCAGGACTTTGAGACCAGCAACAGGCAAAACCCAGTCTCTACCAAAAATACAAAAAGAATAAAAAAATTAGCCAGGCATGGTGGTGCATGACTTTAGTCCCAGCTATTTGGGAGTCTGAGGCATGAGGATCTCTTGAACCTGGGAGGCAGAGACTGCAGTGAGCTGAGATCACACCACTGCATTCCAGCTTGGGCGACAGAGGGAGACCCTGTCTCAGGGAAGGGAAAAAAAAACCAAAACGGGATGAGGATAACAATAATTAGCAGCATTCATTGAGGACTTACTGTACAACAGACCCTGTGTTAAATGCTTTTATATTATTAGCCCATTAAATCCTCAAGAACAGCCCTGAGCAGCAGATATCCCTTGGTTAGGACATGGAGAGTGAGAAATACTAAGTTCATACAGTGAGTGCAGCCAGTGATTGGGAAAGCCAGTGAGAGAGCACTTAGTGTACTCTTTGTGATTGTCCCCCTGTGCAGACAGGAAAGACCACCCCCAGGGTATTCTTTTCCAATGGAAAGATTCTCCTCCTGGGTCTCTGGAATTACCTGAAGGAAGTGTCTGGTGGGCACATCCTATTTCATTATTTGTTCTTTGCTTGGTGGCATCCCGGATGCTGCCACCCACCCGGCAGGACAGAGCAGCCAGGTGTTTCTGGCAGGCACCAGGGCAATGCCACACCCTCTGTGGGTGCCATGGCACCACATTCCTTGGGGCTGGTTCTTAGTTTCCTTTTCTCTTTTGTGTCTTTTGGGAAATGCTTTTGTCTCATTGTCTGCTTTGTGCTATCATGCATTAGTTATTGTTAGAGGACTAGGCCTGGGGGTCTGAGGGATGTTAGAAGGTGGACTGTGGAAGCCACAGTCTTGGCTAGGTACATCCTTTCTCACTGCCCCTCATTTGCTGAGCTCAGTGTGGATGTGTGTGTTGGGTAGGAGTCACAGAAGGTTTTCTCACCTGCCTTAAGGAATCTTCCTATTTTTGCCCTTGGGGTCCTCGATGCAGTGCTTACCTCCACTGTGACTTCTCCCTTAACCTTCCCAATCCTCCTCTACTGCTTCCTGAGATGCCCAGGTGCTAGGAACTGCCACTTACTCTGGGGGCTCGTACTAACTGGCTGTGTTTCAGAAAATCAACCACTTCCCTGGCATGACAGAAATCTGCCGCAAAGATCTGCTGGCTCGGAACCTCAACCGCATGCACAAACTCTATCCCTCTGAATACAACATCTTCCCCCGCACCTGGTGCCTCCCCGCAGAGTGAGTGGGTCTGGCTTCCCATGCTGAGATACCAGGGGGAGGAAAAGGGTCGCTCTCAGAGTTCCCTCCAGGCTCTGGTCTTGTGAGCTAGGAATGTCTCAGAGGGATGGAAGTGGAACGAGAAAGTTTCAGCTTGTCAAAGAAAAGAGGGTCTGAGACTGAGTGTTCCAGGAAGAGCATGGACTAGATAGCAGGAAGAGCTCCATGGGGCCGTGGGAAAGCCATGATACACAGAAACCTTTTGACCAGGCCTTCTCTACACATAGCTATGGGGACTTCCAGTCCTATGGTCGTCAGCGAAAAGCCCGCACGTATATCTGCAAGCCAGACAGTGGCTGTCAGGGACGTGGCATCTTCATTACCCGAAATCCCCGGGAGATCAAGCCAGGAGAGCATATGATCTGCCAGCAATACATCTCCAAGGTGAAGGATGCCTCAGGACCATCAGCCTTCCCCAACACTAAGCATTGGGCTGCCTCGTCTCTCCCAAAAGCCAGGAAGGAAGCTGGTCTTAGGCTTCTACCCTTCCCACTAGCCCCATTTTCCTGGAAGCAGTATCCAGCCATGGTTCAGAACCAGCCTGCCTGGGGTTGAATCTCAGCTTTCCACTTCCCAGATATGTGACCTTGGGCAAGTTTCTTACCCTCTCTGTGCCTCTGTCTCTTTATTGATTGATTGAGACAGAGTCTCGCTGTGTTGCCCAGGCTGGAGTGCTGTGGCACGATCTCGGCTCACTGCAACCTCCACCTCCCAGGTTCAAGCAATTCTCTGCCTCAGCCTCCCGAGTAGCTGGGATTACAGGCACCCACCACCATGCCCAGCTAATTTTTGTATTTTTAGTAGACACGGGGTTTCACCATCTTGGCCAGGCTGGTCTTGAACTCCTCACCCTGTGATCCACCCTCCTCAGCCTCTCAAAGTGTTGGGATTATAGGCATGAGCCACCGCGCCTGGCCTCTCCTCATTTATTAATTGGGAGTAATAACAGTAACTACTTTACATGGTTATTGTGGAAATTTAATGAGCTGTGTATGTGAAGCACTTACAACAGCTCATAGTAGGCACTTCAAATGTGTTATTATTCCCTCATGGGTTTGCGTGCTACCAGCCCTTCCTCATTGATGGCTTCAAATTTGATATGCGAATCTACGTCCTGATCACATCCTGTGACCCTCTCCGGATCTTCATGTATGAGGAGGGCCTGGCCCGTTTTGCCACCACGCCCTATGTGGAGCCCAGCCATAACAACCTGGTAAGGGGGCTGGGAAGCACTCTTCTTTTCCACTACCATGAGTGCTGAGGTTCTCTAGAGAAACATGGTAGAGAGGTTTGTCACTGTCACCAAAGAACAAGGAATGAAGTCAGCAAGAGCTGCAGTATCTAGCTGGGAGACAAGTGTTTGGTAGGTGGTAAATGAGAAAAGGTCAGCACCTGGAGGAGCCCAGCACACCCTCTGCCCCAGGATCGTCCAGAATAGCAGTCCTCTGGTGGAGAGAGACAGGAGACAAGAGATCCTTGGGAGGGGTGGGGAGTAAGAAGGCAATGAAGGGCTGGAGAGGACGGCCACATGCAGTCTGAGACCACAGGGCCACTCTCTCTCCACAGGACAATGTCTGCATGCACCTGACCAACTATGCTATCAACAAACACAATGAGAATTTTGTCCGGGATGGTGCTTTGGGCAGTAAGAGGTACTCGCTACTCGGTTTTCTCCTGCTTTCTCTGCCGCTTAGCCCCATAGTCCCAGTAGCCCATGAAACCGAGCTGGCTCTTGGGAGGCTAATTGCCCAGGGAAACTCAGCCTTTATAGACCCTGTCCTGTGCCTGCACTTTGGAGCTCTAAGTGCAGCCCCAAACCCCACCCTGGTAACTAGTCCCTGCTCCAACTGCTAGCAGCCCTTCAAAGCCCAGGCATGCAATTAGGGTTAGTGTGAGGGAGCCTCCTGCCTACAGCCTGGCCCCAGTGGCCTAGAAACTGGCCTTCCTCTGAGCACTGGGCCTCGCAGGAAGCTGTCGACACTCAACATCTGGCTGCAAGAGCACAGCTACAACCCTGGAGAGCTGTGGGGGGACATCGAGGACATCATCATCAAAACCATCATCTCAGCCCATTCTGTTCTACGCCACAACTACCGAACCTGTTTTCCCCAGTATCTGAATGGAGGTACATGTGCCTGTTTTGAGATCCTTGGTTTTGACATCTTGCTGGACCACAAGTTGAAGCCCTGGCTGCTAGAGGTGAGGATTATCTCCTAGGCTTTGCAAAACCAAGGTCCAGAGGCCTCCTTGAATAGGACACCTGGGACAGGGGTATACTCTGGTGGTGGAACACAGAATGGGAGAGGTGAAAGCCCTGGGGTGGGTGGGAATCAGCAGAAGGCATAAGATCTCTACCCTTTTGACCTGCTGAGTCAAATCTTGGTGGTTTTTGGCCTCTACCATAGGAATGCAGGTTTGGGATCCCCAGTGCCCTAATGTAAGTTTTTAGGGACACACTATCTAGAGAGGCAGGCCAGCTGATTTGCTCTCACTGGTCTGTGAATTGGAGATCTCTAAGGCAGAGTTTTGTGGCCTTGGAAGCCAGAGCATCCAGCCTCCCTGGCTGAGGCCATGGGAGAGGAATATCTCAGACCCTCTAGTTATGCCTGCAAGAGGCCACCACCTGCTCAGGTGGTCGGGGAAAGGGGTATATAATGACTCTTCCTGGCAGGTAAACCATTCTCCAAGCTTTACCACTGACTCAGGCCTTGATCAAGAGGTAAAGGATGCACTTCTCTGTGATGCTATAACCCTTGTCAACCTCCGGGGCTGTGACAAAAGGAAGGTGATGGAGGAGGATAAGCGGCGAATCAAGGAACGGCTTTTCCAGTGCTACCAACAGCCACGAGAATCGAGGTGTGCTAGGTGTCTGGCATGTGTTTAGTTCTTCATTATTCCTGAGACTAAAAGTCCTCCTTTAGATGGAGAATGTGGCCTGGGGCTGATTTGCTATCAAAAACAACTTTTTGCATAGATAATATGTTCATATTTGCATTAAAAAAATCACAGGGCCAGGCTTGGTGGCGCATATCTGTAATCTCAGCATTTTGGGAGGCCGAGGCAGGAGGATTGCTTGAGCCCTGGAGTTCAAGACCAGACTGGGCAACATGTGAGACTCTGTACCTAAAACACAAAAAAGAAACAAAATAATAATAATTTTAAAATAATTTAAAAATAAAAAAATTAGCTGGGCATGGTGGCGTGCCTATATTCCCAGCTACTCAGGAGTCTGAGGTGGGAGAATTACTTGAGCCCAGGAGGTCAAGACTGCAGTGAGCCGTGTTTGCACCACTGCACTCCAGCCTGGGTGACACAGTGAGACCTGGTCTCAAAAAAAAAAAAAAAAAAAAAAAAAATCATGTATCATAGATATGTTCAAAATTTTAAAAATACAGGGGATAGTCTTTCTCCACCCCTTCTCCTCCAGGTACTCAGTTTTACTCTCTGGAGCCAATCAACATTCCTACTATCATGTGTATATAGTAAGCATTTAATGTATATGTATTTATACAAAATATTTTTCTCCCTGCCTACCCAGACAGAGGCATAACTTTCACACTGTCTGCACCCCGGTTAGCAATGTATTTTAGAACCATTCTCATGTTAGCACATAAGGAGCTTTCTGTGGTTTGATTAGCTGGTTTGTTTTTCTAACAAAGCTCCTAGAAACCAGTTCCTGAGAAACTTTGTAACAAAGAAACACAGAAAACAGTTTAGTCATTCAATAATAGAGAATCATTTACATCTGTGTTGGTTACCCATTGTTGTTTTCTTTGTAAAATGAGTTACAAACATGGTAACTGGTTACCAATACTAAAATTGTAATTTGTTAATGATACATACAAATGAATTTCAGTAGATGTATGTTACCACTATGATCACATTGCTGTTCCCACTTGCATTCCAATATGCAGGGGGCAGTGTGTGTTTGACTCCCCATGAGAGCCACAGGGCCTGGGACACCGAAAGCACTCAGATGTCTGCGTGATGAATGGGAGTGAAGTAGAACTGTAAATATACTGGCTATTCCCGCAAGACTGGACTGTGTACCTGAGGGTCATGAAATGTGTCTTTCAATAAGGAAAAATGGTTGAACAGTGCTGGACTAAATAAACAAAATACAATCGTACACTAGAGTACTAGGCAGCCATTTAAAAATATTGTTGTGGCCAGGTGTGGTGGCTCATGCCTGTAATCCCAGCACTTTGGGAAGCCGAGGCGGGTGGATCACTTGAGCTCACGAGTTTGAGACCAGCCTGGGCAACATGCAAAACCCTGTCTCTACAAAACATACAAAAATTAGCCAGACATGGTGGTGCACGCCTGTGGTCCCAGCTGCTCAGGAGGCTGAGGTGAGAGGATGGCTTGAGCCTGGGAGGCCGAGGTTATAGTGAACTGAGACTGCATCACTGCACTCCAGCCTGGGCGACAGAGTGAGACCTTGTTTCAAAAAATTAAATTAAAAAATAAAATAAAAATATTGTTGTATTATTTCATTTTCATTTAAAGAAAGCAAGCAAGCGGTCAGGCGCAGTGACTCACGCCTGTAATCTCAGCCCTTTGGGAGGCCAAGGCGGGCAAATCAGGAGGTCAAGAGATCGAGACCATCCTGGCCAAAATGGTGAAACCCCGTCTCTACTAAAAATACAAAAATTAGCTGGGCATGGTGGTGTATGCCTGTAGTACCAGCTACTCGGGAGGCTGAGGCAGAAGAATTGCTTGAACCCAGGAAGCGGAGGTTGCAGTGAGCTGAGACTGTGCCACTGCACTCCAGCCTGGACAACAGAGCAAGACTCTGTCTCAAAAAAAAAAGGAAGGACGGATGGACGGACGGACGATGCACAAGCTAGTGAGTGGCAGAGCCAGGATTCAAAGTCAGGAGGTCCTGCCTTAGATCCATGCTCATAATCAACAGGCTAATTGCATAGTAAGATTATGGGAGACTTTATCTTCTTTCTGCTCTTCTAAATGTTCTGTAATGAACATATATTACTTTTTTCTTTTCTTTTTTTTTTTTTTGAGACTAGTCTCACTCTGTCATCTAGGCTGGAGTGCAGTGCCGCGATCTTGGCTCACTGCAACTTCCACCTCCTGGGTTCAAAAAATTTTCCTGCCTCAGCCTCCCAAGTAACTGGGACTACAGGCACACACCACCATGCCCAGATAATTTTTGTATTTTTAGTAGAAACAGGGTTTCACTATGTTGACCAGGCTGGTCTCAAATTCCCAACTTCAAGTGATCCACCTGCCTTGGCCTCCCAAAGTGCTGGAATTACAGGTGTGAGCCACCATGCCTGGCCACTTTTTTTTTTTTTTTCCCCAAATGGAAAACTTATATCAAAACATATGTTACTTTTACAATCAGAAACCTAAAAGACTATGATAATGGAGTGCTAGCTTACTAGTAGACCCCTCTCCACTTAAGATGAAAATCAGGCCGAGTACAGTGGCTGACGCCTATAATCCCAGCACTTTGGGAGGCCAAGGTGGGTGGATCACTTGATGTCCAGCCTTGCCAACATGGTGAAACCCTGTCTCTACTAAAAATACAAAAATTGGCCAGGCATGGTGGTGCATGCCTGTAATCCCAGCTACTTGGGAGGCTGAGGCAGGAGAACTGCTTAAACCTAGGAGGCAGAGGTTGCAGTGAGAGGAGATCGTGCCAGTGTACTCCAGCCTGAGCAACAGTGCAAGAACCTGTCTCAAAAAAGAAAAGCAAAGCAGGCCGGGTGCGGTGGCTCAAGCCTGTAATCCCAGCACTTTGGGAGGCCGAGACAGGCGGATCATGAGGTCAGGAGATCGAGACCATCCTGGCTAACACGGTGAAACCCCGTCTCTACTAAAAAATACAAAAAACTAGCCGGGCGTGGTGGCGGGCGCCTGTAGTCCCAACTACTCGGGAGGCTGAGGCAGGAGAATGGCGTGAACCCAGGAGGCAGAGCTTGCAGTGAGCTGAGATCCGGCCACTGCACTCCAGCCTGGGCGGCAGAGCGAGACTCCGTCTCAAAAAAAAAAAAAAAAAAAAGAAAAGAAAAGCAAATCAGATTTCTGGATGTCAAGACTATTTTCTTTTTTTTTTTTCTTTTTTTTTTTTTTTGTGAGATGGAGTCTCGCTCTGTCACCCAGGCTGGAGTGCAGTGGCGTGATCTCGGCTCACTGCAAGCTCCACCTCCTGGGTTCACGCCATTCTCCTGCCTCAGCCTCCCGAGTAGCTGGGACCACAGGCACCCACCACCACGCCCAGCTAATTTTTTGTATTTTTAGTGGAGACGGGGTTTCATCATGTTAGCCAGGATAGTTTCGATCTCCTGACCTCGTGATCTGCCCGTCTCGGACTCCCAAAGTGCTGGGATTACAGGCGTGAGCCACTGCGCCCGGCCCAAGCCTATTTTCATGGCTACCCACATTTGGGGCTTGCCAAAGATGGGCTTGGCAGCTTTCCCTACTTGGGCACGGGCCCGGGAGGTCAAGAACCCAGCAGGAGGGGCTCCAAACCTTAGTCAGTCTTCCTTTCCCTACTGAACATTCCTACAGCTCTCCTCTGACTCACTTGAGCTTGCTTTCCACAGGAAAGAAAAAACTGAGTCATCCCATGTGGCAATGCTGGACCAGGAACGATATGAGGATTCTCACCTGGGAAAATACCGGCGGATCTACCCTGGGCCTGACACAGAGAAGTATGCCCGCTTCTTCAAGCACAATGGCTCCCTCTTCCAGGAGACTGCTGCTTCCAAGGCCAGAGAGGAGTGTGCCAGGTACTTTGACCGACATTCTCCTCTGCACACCTAGGTGGGGCAAGTCCTGAAGCTGCATTGCTTCCCAGCAGGGGAAGAGGAAGTCAGACACTTGAGCAGAGGAATGGAGCTATAAATCCTATCAGACTCTTAGTGACTCTTTTCAGTTTAGTAGGTTTCCTGTCTTCCCCCGTCATTGCTCTCCCATCAGTCCTAAGAACAGATTATAATTTCCTACTCTTTCCCCATCCCCATTTTTCCTCACCCCTCTTCTCCCCAACACCATTTCTCTAGTGTCTGAAGCTGCTGTGTCTTGTCAGGCAGCAACTGGAGGAGATCCGCCTTAAGCAGGAACAGCAGGAGACCTTGGGCAGTAAGAGGCAAAAGGCCAAGGACCAGAACCAGGGTGAATCAGCTGGGGAGAAAAGCCAACCCAGGGCAGGGCTCCGGAGCCATTCCACTCGCTTGGCTTACAGGAACCACAGCTGGGAGAAAGAGGTGCCAGGGGTTTTGCGGCTCTTATCTTTCTGCGGGAAAATGGGTTGGGACAACTAGAGAGGGGAATGAATCTCTGCTGTCCTCTCCCCCCATGCACAAGAGAGAGAGGAGTTCCTAATCAGTAAATTGAATCTGATCCTTTGGAAGATGAAGTGAGAGAATGGACAGCAAAAGGAACTGTCCTGGGTCAGGGAAGGGATGAGGGTAGAGTGGGCAGGAGGCCTGCAGCCATCCTGGGCGATGGTTTGGGACTCATCCTTGGAAATCCTGCATTTATCTCTCATGTACCTTGTAGCTGCTGCCAGGACAGCTGGACACCATGAGGCCTCAACAAATTGTGGAAGAGGAGGAGCTGGAGCGGATGAAGGCCCTGCTACAAAGGGAGACTCTCATCCGAAGCTTGGGTATTGTAGAGCAGCTCACCCGTCTGCAGCACCCTGGCCCCCAGGGCCAGAAAAAACTTCATGAGAGTCGGGTGAGGGTCCCTGTGAAGCCTCCCAGAGGAAAAGGGAACAAGGGCTGTCGTCCCAACACATGGTGGTGGTCTCAACAAAGGAGGCTTGTGTGATGGTATCTGTCAGTGGAGCCTGGGAAAGCAGAGTGCACTAGCTGGACCTTGGGAGAGGGTCTGTTGATTCCTTTTACGTCTGTTCCCAAGCTCCTTTGTTTTAGATATGACATCCAGCAAAGTGCAGCTCCAAACTTTCTCATTTACAGGAAACCTGCTCTCTACATTCCTGTCCCCAAATAACCCCACACTCATGACTGACAAATAACAAGGCCACCACCCTCAGTGGCTTCTGTATAATTTTCTCCCTAGCACTGTCAGTGCCCTGGCTCTAATGGGAGATAAGTAAACAGATTTGGGCCAACAAAAGAGCTGCTGCTTTCACTATTCCCTGGGCTAGTAGCAAACCTGTTGGGTTTACTGTTTTTGTTGAACCTCAAAGGAGTATCTGGTTAAATAGTGGCCATGGCCTAGATTTTTTTTCAGTTACCTCCTTCGTCCAACGCTCCATCCAAACTCACATAAAAATGTGGTAAGGGGCTGCTCTTCTCCTCTAGCCTAGATTTCGTTAGGACAGGCTAGGCAGTCAAAAACTGAAACCTGGGAGTCTGGTTCTATTTGTGCTCCTAAGAGGGGCTGCCACAGAGCAGGGCCCTCTTCATTTGCTGCATCCAGTTCTGCCCCATAAATCGATCCCCAGGATCTTAGGGGCACTGCCAAGCATGAATGCTGCAATCCCACATGTTCCCCGGTGCCATCTGCAGCCCAAGAACTTCACCTGGACAGGAGAGCCGGCAGCCATCAACTCCTGTTCATTGTCAATGAAGAAGGCTGGGAGGCGCTATTTTTCCAGTGCCAGAATCAGGCTGACTAGCCGTAAGTATGCAAAACTATCTTTGGTCATTTTGACCTGTGTAAATCCCACTAGCAAGTATAGAGCTTGGATGCCCCCAAAATATAAGGCACTTCCACCGGTGTAAGAATGGGGAAGTTAGGGTACCCATTTATTTACTCCTTTCTTTTTTGTTTTCTTTTCTTTTGTTTTTTTTTTCTGAGACAAGGTCACGCTCTGTCACCCAGGCTGAAGTACAATGGCTTGATCTCACCTCACTGCAACCTCCACTGACAGGCTCAAGTAATTCTCCTGCCTCAGCCTCCCGAGTAGCTGGGACTACAGGCACACACCACCATGCCTGACTTTTATATTTTTTGTTTTCGCCATTTAGCCCAGGCTGGTCTTGAACTCCTGAGCTCAGGTGATCCACCAGACTCAGCCTCCCAAAGTGCTAGGGTTACAGGTGTGAGCCACCACACCAGGACTATTTAATCCTTTCTGTACACTAGACCCTGGTGATAGAAATGGCAGAAATACAGTCCTAGCACTCAACAGAGGTAATAAGAACATGGACAAGAAGACATACCATACCAATTACAATACAGTGTGGGAAAGACAGTGGATTGGGAAGCATGGGATGCCCTTCCTCTGTGTTGGTAATTGGGCCACAGCTGGGAAAGAGGTGAGCCAATCTCTTCTGTGAGTACCAACTCAGGGACATCCATGTTTCCACTGCAGAAGGACAAGCCAGCAGAAGGCTAGAAGCCATAAACCGAGTCCTGGCAGGATCAGTGCCACCCACTTTAACCCCAAAGCAGGGCTATCTTCTGCAACCGGAAAGAGTGGCATCTGACTCATGGACTGAATGCACCTTGCCCTCCATGGTAAACTCTGAACACAGAACAGCCAAGGTTTCCCTCTGCCCTGCCTCTGCACCCGTGCTGCAGCGTTCCAGAGCACTCCTCAACATCAATCAGTTCAGGTAAAAGCAGGAGGGAAGCACTCTACCTCTCCTGGAGAACCTCCCCAGGTTTCCAAAGGGTTTCCAAAGGGCATTCAATCTTTGCTAAATGAAAGACTGCCACCAAGTTCCTCTTTGAAAAGCCCTGCCCAGGAACCCCATTTGTAAAAGGCAAAATACAAAGACACCAAGAATTCCTCAATAACCTAAGATTAACTGGGGATCAGTAAAGACTAGAAGATGAAGAGGCGCCAAGGCCAGCCATGTACTCATTTCTGCTTATCAAGCCTTAGCCTGGGTTTATCGCTAGGTGATGGGTCTGAACCCTAGGTGCGGCCCGGGGCTGGAGGTCATCCAGGAGACAAAGAGCCCCTTTCCCAGAGGAGCCGAGTGCCCAAGGCACTGGGCTGTCGCCGTCAGAAGACTGCCGAGCGGAAGCCCTGCCCACCAAGGTGGCGGAGACAGGCAGGCCTGGGGAGCCGCTGGGGCGGAGGGACGGCTCTTGGAAACTGAATCCGTACTTTAATTAAAATTTATACAGTTTTCCAGGAGCGTCCTGTACCTCATTTCGGCCCTCACGTTTCAGCCAAGCCCTCTCCACAGCTACAGCCAGAAAGGGTGGGCCACTGAGCAGCGTGAGACCAGATCTCACGGCCACCAAATGAAGAGGGAAATGCTTGCTACTACCCAGCTTCCGGCCCGCCCCTTCCACTTCCGGCCTTACCCGGCTACTTCCGCTGCTGTTTCGTAGCAGACTGCTGAAGGCTGGTTTGCGTCGACATGGCGGTTTCCCTGAGTGTCTTGCTGGGGGGGCGCGTTTGCGCTGCCGTCGCTCGCTGTGGGTTCGCGACCCGGGGGGTGGCGGGCCCAGGCCCTATCGGCCGGGAGCCGGACCCCGATTCCGACTGGGAGCCGGAGGAACGGGAGCTGCAGGAGGTGGAGAGGTACCGGCTTCTCCTCGGGCCCTCAGCTTGAAGCTGGGCCTCGCGCCCCGGCGCCCCAGGCCGCGCCCCCTTGGCGCCGGGTGTCCTGCCGCTGCTTGCGTGGCGGCCCTTGTTTCCTCTTACCCGTTGTTAGTCGCGCAGCGTGAGGTGTTCAGCTCCCCAGGGACCACTGGTCCCTTCATTAGTGACGTATTTCATCATTAGTTTAGAGAGTTCGGCATGCTTACAGGCAGTTATTGTTCTAGGTGTTAGCTTTCTGGGTGTACAGAGCAGCTCTAAGCCGGCAACACGGCGCGGTTGCCCTTGTGATCAAAGAGAAGAGGGCTGGGCGCTCCATGATTTAGCCTGAGGCTCTTCAAACATCCATTCTGCTTCCACGCATGGCTTCTGCCATTGATTCTCTTCCCCCAGCACCCTGAAAGGACAGAAAAAAGCAATCCGATTCCAGAAAATTCGGAGGCAAATGGAGGCGCCTGGTGCCCCGCCCAGAACCCTGACTCGGGAAGCCATGGAGCAGATCCGGTAAGACTCAGGGTACCTTGTTTGTATCTGCTGTGACAAGAAATGAAGGATAATGGAGCCCAGAGCACGGGTTTGGCTTTTTTGATACTGCTTTTATATTTTCATTTACTTTTTATCATTGAAATTTACTATCAGAAAAGTAGAGTAATATAACGAACTTTCCTAAACCTGTCATCATCTAGATTTAATAGTGTATTGTTTTGTTTTTTAAAGACACGTGGTTTCCGCAATCACCTCGAACTCCTGACCTGAAGTGATTCGCCCGCCTCGGCCTCCCAGAGTGCTGGGATTACAGGCATGAGCCACTGCGCCCCGCCTGGTTTTAGTAGATTTTAACGTTATGACGTGGTTGTTTCATTTTTGTTGAAGTTTTTAAATAGTAAATTGCAGACATCACAACATTTAACCCCTTCATGTAGATCATGACATTCCCAACCTAAGGTACAGGAATGCTGGTGCTTCCATAGTTAGGTGCATTTTTCTGAAGAGAGGATCTATAATTTAGGAAAAGCTTAAAAGAGATTTTAAGGTTTTTTTTTTTGTTTTTTTTTTTTTGAGACGCAGTCTCGCTCTGTCGCCCCGGCTGGAGTGCAGTGGCCGGATCTCAGCTCACTGCAAGCTCCGCCTCCGGGGTTTACGCCATTCTCCTGCCTCAGCCTCCCAAGTAACTGGGATTACAGGCGCCCGCCATCTCGTCCGGCTATTTTTTTGTATTTTTTAGTAGAGACGGGGTTTCACCGTGTTCGCCAGGATGGTCTCGATCTCCTGACCTCGTGATCCACCCGTCTCGGCCTCCCAAAGTGCTGGGATTACAGGCTTGAGCCACCGCGCCCGGCGAGATTTTAAGGTTTTTTTGTTTTGAGTAGGTAAAGTGTTACATATGGCTCAACATCCTAACAGTATAACATGGTTTACGCCTTGAGAATTATTTGTCCCACCCACTCTCCTGTGGGTACCTTTTTTTTTTTTTTTGGTAAATGGGGGTCTCACTCTGTCGCCAAAGCTGGAGTACAATGGTATGATCACAGGTCACTGCACCCTCTACCTCCTGGGCCCAAGCAATCCTCCCACTTCGGCCTCCCAAGTAGCTGGGACTACAGGTGCATGCCACCATGCCTAGTTAATTTTGTTTATTTTTTGTAGAGACAGTCTCATCATGTTGCCCATGCTAGTCTACAATTCCAGGGCTCAAGCGATCCTCCTACCTCAGCCTTCTGAAGTGTTGGGATTACAGGCGTGAGCCACTGTTTGCAGCTGTACTATTTTTAATAGTTTTTCTCTACCAAAAACCAGGCTCCATGCCCTGAGCGAGCCACTGCGCCCGGCCCTCAATTCTTTTTTATAGATGGTGTTATTATATTTTTTTGAGGCAGTATATGACAGTGGTTTTTAATTTTTATTTAAACAATTTTTTCTCCTATCTATTTATTTATTTGACAGAGATGGGGGTCTCACCATGATGACCAGGCTGGTCTCAAACTTCTGGCCTCAACTGATCTTCCCATCTCGGCCTCCCAAAGTGCTGGGATTAGAGGCGTGAGCCACCACGCCTGGCCAGAATGCATTATTTAACCTGTCTTTTCTTATGGGCATTTAGTTGGGTTGTTTCCATTTCTGTTGCTCACTAATAGTGCTCCAGTGAATAACTATGTATATGTATCATTCTACATACCTGCCAGGAGTATTTGTTATATACATTCCCAGAAGTAAGGTTGCCAGGTCAAAAGACAAATGCGTTTGCATTTTGATAAATATTGCTAAGTAGCCCTACTTAGCACATTAGTACATAATACTAATACATAATACATACTTAGTACATAAATAGTACTTACGTACTATTTTTCATTTCCATCAGAATGACTCTGGAATTGAAATTTAAAATAAAGAGGATTCTGTAGAGCTGGTCAAGATTTTGTGAGCCTGTAGCACCTTCTGGGTCCTCAGTCAGGTCTAATTTCCTCTTTTTTTTGTTTGTTTGTTTTTTGTTTGAGACAGTCTCACTCTGTTTCCCAGGCCAGAGTGCAGTGGTGAAATCTCAGCTCACTGCAGCCTCTGCCTCTGGGTTCAAGAGATCTTGGGCCTCAGCCTCCGGAGTAGCTGGGATTACAGGTGTGCACCACCACACCTGGCTAATTTTTGTATTTTTAGTAGAGACACAGTTTCGCCATGTTGGCCAGGCTGGTCTCACTCCTGACCTCAGGTGATCCACCTACCTCGGCCTCCCAAAGTGCTGGGATTACAGGCATGAGCCACCATGCCGGCCTCTGTCTCCTGTCTTCAACAACAGCTTTTTCAAACCTTTCACCTTCGTACTTATCTCCCTTTTTTGTGGTCAATAAATGTCCTTTTAAGAGAAAAAAACAGTCCAATAAGTAAGAACTTCGAGCTTCCTGGTCTTCCTCTTTGCCCACTACTCTCAATCCTATGCTCTACTCTCATTTCAGAGGAAATGGGTGCCCTTCACTTGTCTGGGACCAATTCTCTGTATGCTTTAGGTCATATTTCTCCCTGCTTACTCAGGGACCTCTGTCCTCAACCTAAAGCTCTCTCTCATTCTTTTATTCCCAGCTGGTTCCCAGGGTACCTACCCTTGGTTTTTTGTTTGTATCACTGCAATAAAACTGCTCTCCTTAAATCCATCAGTGACTTCCTCAGTGCTAGGCTCAAATGACACTTTGTAGTCTTTAGCCTCGTTAATAATTCAGCAGCATTTGCCCTTGTAAAAACTGCCTTTTAAATTAAAAAAAAAAAAATTAAATAAAGACAGGATTTTGCCATGTTGCCCAACCTGGTCTCCAACTCCTGAGCTCAAGCGATCTGCCTGCCTTGGCCTCCCAAAGTGTTAGGATTACACGTGTGAGCTACTGTACCCAACTGAAACTGCTTTCTTTTCTTTCTCTCTCTTTATTTATTTAGTTATTGCCACTGATTCTCTTTTCGTTTTTTTGTTTGTTTGTTTGTTTGTTTGTTTGAGCCGGAGTCTGTCTCTGTCGCCAGGCTGGAGTGCAGTGGCATGATCTTGGCTCACTGCAACCTCCGCCTCCTGGGTTCAAGTGATTCTCGTGCCTTAGCCTTCTGAGTAGATGAAATTACAAGTGCACACCACTATGCCCAGCTAATTTTTTTCTTTTTCTTTTTTTTTTTTCTTTTTGTATTTTTAGTAGAGATGGGGTTTCACCAAGTTGACCAGGCTGGTCTTGAACTCCTGACCTCAAGTGATCTGCCTGCCTCAGCCTCCCAAAGTGCTGGGATTACAGGTGGGTATGAGCCACCATACCCAGCCTTTATTTTTATTTTTTTAATTTTACTTTAAGTTCTGGGGTACATGTGCAGAATGTACAGGTTTGTTACATAGGTGTACATGTGCCATGGTGAACTGCTTTCTTAAAATTCTCTTCTCCCTTGACTCCAGGGTACCATTCCCTTCTGATTTTTTTGTTTGTTTGTTTGTTTCTTTGTTTCTAGGGCTGCTTTTCTCAGTTAACTTCCTGGGCTCCTCTTCTACTTCCTATATCTTAAATCTTGTTATTTCTTAGAGTTGTGTCCTTGTCATTTTAGCTCACTCTGCATATTTCCCTGCCTGATACTAGCCACTCAGTCACCCCTGCTATTGGCTTATGACTTCCAAATCTGTCATCTCCAGTTCATGTTTTTTTTCCTGAACTCTAAAGGCATATATTCAACTGTGTACCAGACATCTCTGTTTTGGATATCACAGTTTCCTCAAACTCAACATGTACAAAATACAATTCATTGTTGTTCCCTGACAACTTCATTCTGTTCCTGTTTTTCCTATAACCTGCTAATTAATTACCCAAGCTAAAATCCTGAATCTTGACCTTGATGCTTCTTCCCCCAATGTTTAGTCCCTTAGTACCAAGTTGTACTATTTGACTTTTCTAAAATATTTCTCAACTCACTTTCCTCCTATGCTCCATTGACTATCTCACTTGAGACTGTCTGGATTACTGTAACAGTCTCTTGACCAATCTTTCTGCCTATATTTCTGTCACTGAAAAACTACCACTAGGTTGAACTCCTTTTTTTCTTTTTTTAATAGAGATGGGATCTCAGTGTGTTTCCCAGGCTGGTCTCGAACTCCTGGGCTCAAGCAATCCCCCTGCGTCAGCCTCTCAAAGTACTGGGAGTGAGCCACTCTGCCAGGCTGTAGGTCGAACTTCAAAATGAAAATTTATCCATGGTATTCCACTGCTTAAAATTTTTCCTTGACTTGCTCTTGCCTTGGGATAAACTCCAGACCCCTAAGTGTGATCTACCTCTTACCCTCACTGTCAGTTGAGCTATTCCCAACAAAGGTGATGTGCCACTTTGCATTTCGCAAGTGTTCACTTTATCATCATTACCTTTCATATCTCCTTCTCTCCTCCCTTCTGTCAGCTTATTACTCCTTTCATCCTTTCAGACCAACTCTAGCTTGGACTTCATGAAGCAATTCCTGGGCCTGGCTGTAAGTGTTCTTATTCCCTATATCTGAGTCTCCCTCCTGGGGTGCTGTCTTTGCATCCTGTGCTATAACCTTTACCATAATGTCATTCATTGTGTCTGTCCCCACTCCCAAACTATGTAAAGGGAAGGTCAGTTCTGCATCCCCAGGACCTAATGTGGTATTAGATGTCAGTGAGAGGAGCTGAGTTGATATGAAATGAAGTGACCTGACTGACAGTGGTCAGGTGTTGCTCTTGACACACAGGAATGGAACACAGCCATTTAGCTAGCACAAGATAGGGACTACATTTGCGGTTTTTCAAGCCCTGTTTTTTTGTTTTTTTGAGAGATTCTCACTCTGTTGCCCAGGCTGGAGTGCAGTGGCACAATCTCGGCTCACTACAATCTTCACTTCCCAGGTTGAAGCGATTCTTGTGCCTCAGTCTCCCAAGTAGCTGAGATTACAGGCATGAGCCACCACAGTTAGCTAATTTTTGTATTTTTAGTAGAGATTGGGTTTCACCACATTGGCCAGGCTGGTCTCGAACTCCTGGGCTCAAGCGAATCACCTATCTCGGCCTCTCAAAGTTCTGGGATTACAGGTGTGAGCCACCATGCCAGGCCTCAACCCCTCTTCTTTATAATACGTATTGCAAGTTAGATGTTCTGATAGGAGCCTTCTTTACAACTTGCAAACCTGCTCCTTCTTCCCATAGGTATTTACGTGAGGAATTTCCAGAGTCCTGGTCAGTTCCCAGGTTGGCTGAAGGCTTTAATGTCAGCACTGATGTGATCCGAAGAGTTTTAAGAAGCAAGTTTGTACCCACATTGGAGCAGAAGCTGAAGCAGGATCAAAAAGTCCTTAAGAAAGCTGGGCTTGCCCACTCTCTCCAGCAGCTCCGGGGCGCTGGAAATACCTCAAAGCTGCTCCCTGCAGGCCACTCTGTATCAGGTTCTTTGCTTATGCCGGGGCATGAAGCCTCATCCAAAGACGCGAATCACAGCACAGCTTTGAAAGTGATAGAGTCAGACACTCACAGGACAAATACACCAAGGAGATGGAAGGGAAGAAATAAAGAAATCCAGCACCTGGAGGAGAGCTTTGTGCCTGTTGCTGTACCCCTAGGTCATCCAAGAGAGCTACAGAAGTACTCCAGTGATTCTGAGAGCACCAGAAGAACTGGCAGTGGTGCATTGCCAAGTGATCAGAAGCTGGAGGAGTTGAAGGCAGAGGAGCCGGGTAACTTCAGCAGCAAAGTAGTGCAGAGGGGCCGAGAGTTCTTTGACAGCAACGGGAACTTCCTGTATAGAATTTGAGTCGGGGCTTGGCTTGTGGAGATGCCTTGTGAAACACAGCTGGGCAAGGAATATATATGGAACAGCCTGGATTTCTACATATGGAGAAGCCACCTTGGAATAGGAAGAAGTGTTGAGCCTGGACTGTGGGAGGAAAAAACTGCCTGGATAGATTTCAGACTTCCTGTAGTAGTGCCCCCAATCTGACCTCTGTTGATCTTCAGTACTCACTCTTCTTGCTTGGACTCTCTGTATGTTGAAAACCAGCCATGTTGCATGTGTTGTTACAATTTTCTGTGATACTTGCAATTTATATTTGAGAGGAAGTGAAAAGTTTGCCTTCTGACCTCATTTCCTTCTTGATCAGTGAACACTAACATTTTTGGGACAACTTAGTCAATTGTTTTCCTTACAAGCAAAATAAAGTAAAATGTAGCAGTCTGCTTTTTTGGTGCTCTCTGGGGTAGGATGGTTTACCTGTGAACCTTTGTGAGGGAAGGACAAAGGCAGAAAGGAAGGATCCTTGGCCAGTAAACGTTGGGGGAGAGATGGAACCAGAGGAATTTCCCAGCAAAGGGCTCTGTGCAGAGCATCCTGCTTAGTGATGGATTCTGACAACCAAAAACTGGACGCCCTTCTCTTAGTTGCTGGGGTTCTGGCAAAGATTGGGAAATGAGGGATTGGCAGAAAATACAAAGCAGGCAAAGGCTTTAGGGCCCTTATAATCTCCAACCACATTTTAAAGTTAATTATATTAAGAGTGGGGCATGGCGGAATGTGCCTACAGTTCCAGTGACTTGGGAGGCCGAGGTGGGAGGATTGCTTGAGCCTCGGAGGTTGAGGCTGCAGTGAGCTATGATTGCACCACTGCACTCCAGCCTGGGGTAACAGAGTGAGACCCCCATCTCTAAATAAAAGTCAATCAATCTTCAGTTATGTCTCATTATACAGTTTCCTTAACCAGATTTCTACAGTGGCGCCATGATGTAGGCAATCCCAGATTAAGAGGTCCCTTTTACAAATAAGGAAATAGACTCTAAGATGGCTGCCCATAAGTGGCAGTGCTGGGACTTAACTCGGGTCTCATCATTAATCCAGGGCTTTTGGAATTCCAGGGATATGGCACTGTGCCATAATTTTGTTAATTTACTGATTGTTTTAGAAATACATCTGTTATAACCAGAAATCTGGGGACAGCTTAGTCAATTGGTTTTCCTTACAAGCAAAATAAAGTAAAATGTAGCAGTCTGCTCGTTGGTGCTCTGGTGGGATGGTTTACCTGTGAACCTTGGAGAACCGTGTCCTGCTTTCACAAATTACCAGCAAAAATGGCTACTCAGAATTTAAATACGTGTAGGACATTAATGAAAACACCTACATTCCAACTCAGTCATTGCCATTCTAGAATCTTATTGCTATTTCAAATGTCCATTTACAGCAATTAAAATACTGATTACTGTTGCTTTTATCAATTATTGATAACTTGATCATCTGTTCTCAGTATAAATGGCAAAGCCCTATCACATGCTAAGCAAAGTTCTACGATCCAGATACTGGTAATACAATAGTGGGCAGATAGGACCCTTGCTCTCATTTCCCTGTCACTATCATGTAGTTCATAGTAGAAGCTTATCAATATTTTTATGGTTTTGTTATAGTGTTTATTTTTTAATTGTTAAAGATGTGTTAGATGCTGTTTGATTGTTTAAATTTGCATTTGTAACTCCTGCAAATCATCTGATCATGCCATACCCTTTTCCCAATGGGCTATAGAAACCTAAAGCCTGTCCTTAAAACTTTGTTTTTTAATTTATTTTTGAGACGGACTCTAGCTCTGTCGCCCAGGCTGGAGTGCAGTGGCAAAATCTCAGCTCACTGCAACCTCCACCTCCCAGGTTCAACTGATTCTCCTGCCTCAGCCTCCCAAGTAGCTGGGATTACAGGCATCTGCCACCATGCCCAGCTAATTTTTGTGTTTTTAGTAGAGATGGGGTTTCACCACGTTGGCCAGGCTGCTCTCAAAACTCCTGACCTCAAGTGATCTGCCTGCCTCGGCCTCCTAAAGTGCTAGGATTACAGGTGTGAGCCACTACACCTGGCCTTTATTTCTTTTGAGACAGGGTCTCGCTCTTGTCCACACTGGAGTACAGTGGCTCAATCTCGGCTCACTGCAACCTCCGCCTCCCGGATTCAAGCAATTCTCCTGCCTCAGCCTCCCAAGTAGCTGGGACTACAGGCATGTGCCACCATGCCCAGCTAATTTTTAAAAATATTTTTAGTAGACAGGGTTTCACCATGTTGGCCAAGCTGGTCTCAAACTCCTGACCTCAAGTGATCTGCCTGCCTTGGCCTCCCAAAGTACTGGGATTACAGGCATGAGCCACCACACCCGACATTTATTTTTATTTCTTTGGAGACAGGGTCTCGCTCTGTCATCCACACTGGAGTGCAGTGACTCAATTTCAGCTGACTGCAACCTCTGTCTCCTGGGTTGAAACTATTATCATTCCTTAGCCTCCTGAGTAGCTGGGACTACAGGCATGCACCACCACACCCAGCTAATTTTTTTTTTTTTTTTTTTTTGAGACGGAGTCTCGCTCTGTTGCCCAGGCTGGAGTGCAGTGGCGCAATCTCAGCTCACTGCAAGCTCTGCTCCCGGGGTTCACGCCATTCTCCTGCCTCAGCCTCCCATGTAGCTGGGACTACAGGTGCCCGCCACCATGCCCGGCTAATTTTTTTTTTTTTTTTTTTTAGTAGTTTTAGTAGAGACAGGGTTTCACCGTGTTAGCCAGGATGGTCTCTATCTCCTGACCTCGTGATCCGCCCGTCTCAGCCTCCCAAAGTGCTGGGATTACAGGCGTGAGCCACTGCACCCAGCCTAATTTTTTATTTTTAGTAGAGTCAGGATTTCACTATGTTGGCCAGGCTGGTCTCAAACTCCTGTGCTCAGGTGATCTGCCCGCTTCGGCCTCCCAAAATGCTGAGATTACAGCGTGACCCACCACGTGAGACAGGCAGATCACCTGAGGTCAGGAGTTTGAGACAAGCCTGGCCAACATGGCAAAACCCTATCTCTACTAAAAATACAAAAATTATCTGGGTGTGGTGGCAGATGCCTGTAATCCCAGCTACTGGGAAGGCTGAGGCAGGAGAATTGCTTGAACCCTGGAGGCAGAGGTTGCAGTGAGCCGAGATTGTGCCACTACACTTCACCCTGGGTGACAGTGAGACTCCATCTCAAACAAACACCTCCAATGCTCTTTCTCAAATACCATGGCTACCCTTCTTCCTGCTTTGCTTCATCTGTCACACAAGTAATATATACTCATTAAAGAAAAAGACAAGCAAAATGAAAACAAAAGTCATCCCTAATCCCACTGCTGAAGAGTTACTATCTTACCAACATTTTTCTAAGCATATGTACAACTTTAAAACAAGCACAAAAGAATAATATTGCGGCGGGGACGGTGTCTCACGCCTGTAGTCCCAACACTTTGGGAGGCCCAGGCGGGTGGATCACTTGAGGCCAGGATTTCGAGACCAGCCTGGCCAACATGGTGAAACCCTGTCTATATTAAAAATACAACAAGGAGGGACTCCCCGCCGCCGCCTGGGCCCGGCCCCACACCGTGGGTCGACGTGATCCGCTGCAGCCTGGCCTGCGAGCGCTGCAGCTGGATCCTGACCCTGCTCCTACTCAGCGCCATCGCCTTTGACATCATAGCCCTGGCCGGCCGCGGCAGGCGGCAGTCAAGCGACCACGTCCAGACGTCCTTGCTATGGTGGAGATGTTTCCACGAGGGCAGCGACGGCAGCGGGTCCTAAGAGGACGGCTGCTAGAGCCTCATGGAGTACGCGTTGGGTAGAGCAGCAGCTGCCATGCTCTTCTGGGGCTTCAGCATCCTGGTGATCTGTTTCATCCTCTCCTTCTTCTTCATCCTGTGTGTACCCCAGATGCTTGTCTTCCTAAGAGTGATTGGAGGTCTCTTTGTCTTGGTTGCTGTGTTCCAGATCATCTCCCTGGTAATTTACCCCGTGAAGTACACCCAAACCTTCAACCTTCAGGCCAGCCCTTGCTGTCACTTACATCTATAACTGGCCCTACGGCTTTGGGTGGGCAGCCACGATTATCCTCATCAGCTGCGCTTTCTTCTGCTACTGCCTCCCCAACAATGAAGATGACCTCCTGGGCAATACCAAGCCTAAGGACTTCTACACATCTGCCTAACTTGGGAATGAGCGTGGGAGAAAATCGCCACTGCCAAGATGGATTCCAGAAAAAGAAACTGTTTGTCTAGGCTACTTTGAACCTATTTTTTGGCAGTGTTCATAGTCAAAAATGCTAAAATAATTTGGGAGAAAATATTTTTAAAGTAGTGTTATAGTTTTATGTTCACCTTTTATTATGTTTGGTGAAGTTGTGTATTTTCACTAATTACCTATATTATGCCAATATTTCTTTATATCTACCCATAACATTGATGCTACATTTGTAAGATAATATGAACATGAAACTTAACACTTTATAAGGTAAAAATGAGATGGTTTCCAAGATTTAATAATCCGATCAAGTTCTTGTTATTTCCAAATAGAATGAACTGGGTCTGTTAAGGGCTAAGGAGAAGAGGAAGGTAATGGTAAAAATTGTCAATGACTGGCTGGGTGTGGTGACTCAAGCTTGTAATCTCAGCACTTTGGGAGGCTGAGACAGGCCGATCACCTGAGGTCACGAGTTCAAGACCAGCCTGGCAAACATGGTGAAACCCTGTCTCTACTGAAAATACAAAAATTAGCCGGGCGTGGTGGCACATGCCTGTAATCCCAGCTACTGGGGAGGCTGAGGCAGGAGAATCACTTGAACCGGAGAGGTAGAGGTTGCAGTGAACTGAGATCGTTGCATTGCACTCCAGCCTGGGCAACAGAGCAAGACTCTGTCTCAAAACAAACAAAAATTGTCAATGACCAAACATTCTGAAAGAAATGCCAAAAAAAGCTTTTTTTTTTTTTCAAGACTTCAAACGATTTAAAGAAGCAAAATAGTTTCCTAAATGCATATTGTTTGTGAGAATTTCTCACTAATATCCTGAATAATTCTTTTTTTTTTTTTTGAGACAGAGTCTTGCTTTGTCGCCCAGGCTGGAGTGCAATGGCGTGATCTTGGTTCACTGCGAGCTCTGCCTCCCGGGTTCACGCCATTCTCCTGCCTCACCCTCCCGAGTAGCTGGGACTACAGGCACCCGCCACCACGCCTGGCTGATTTTTTATATTTTTAGTAGAGACAGGGTTTCACCGTGTTAGCCAGGATGGTCTTGATCTCCTGACCTCATGATTCGGCCACCTCGGCATCCCAAAATGCTGGGATTACAGGTGTGAGCCACTGAGCCCGGCCCTGAATAATTCATTTTTGCTAAGCTTCATGTTGACTCTATATATCATCTAAGAAAGTATTGTTTTGTGGTCCAAACCTGTTGCCATGGTTAGTAAGGCTTTCTTAGGTGTGAAATATTTCGATGAAATTTTCTCTTTTAAAGTTCTGTACAGGGTTAGGGTGTTGGAAAATGCTATATTAATAAATCTTAGCGTTTTGTGTTTATATGTTCAAAACCAGAGTAACTGGATTGAAAGATGGACTGATAGATCTAATCTATCAGTCTAATTTATCATGACTGATAGATCTGGTTAAGTTGTGTAGTAAAGGATTAGGAGAGCCATTCCTATCACAAAAGTGCCTCTAAAACAGTCTAAGGAGAAAAATGGCTTGCTTTTCTAAACTTCAGATTTATCTGGGCTCTAATCATGTAGACAGGCTTCTGACAGATTGCAACTGTCAATAGAAACCTACATATAGTTAAAATCCTGGTCTTTCTTGGTAAACAGATTTAAAATGTGTAATGTAAAACATGCCACAGGAGAATTCAGGGATTTGAGTTTCCCTGAATAGCATATATATGATGCATCAGATGAGTTATTACTATTTTTTACCATTTCTACTTACATAATGAAAAACAATTCATTTTAAATATCAAAGTATTATTTTGTAAGTTGTGGAAAAGGGCAATTGAAGTTTTCATTATGAAGTTTTCCCAATAAACCAGGAATTCTAAACTTGAAAAGAAAAATAGAATTAGCCAGATGTGGCTGCACAGGCCTGTAATCCCAGCCGCCCAGGAGGCTGAGGCAGGAGAATCACTTGAACCTGAGAGGCAGAGGTTACAATGAGCCGAGACTGCACCACTGCACTCCAGCCTGGGTGACAGAGACTCTGTCTCAAAAAAAAATAATAATGAAAATAATATGGGGATTATACTGTACGCTCAGGTATACATTCTTTCTTACATGTATTGTGAATATATTTTGACAATAAATATCTTTACTTCACTTAAAATAATCACCTCATATTTTGTTTTATGGAATACAATATTATTTTGTTGTATGAAGTCAAATATTAGATTGAACCATATATCTGATCTTTTTTTTTTTTTTTTTTGAGACGGAGTTTTGCTCTCTTACCCAGGCTGAAGTGCAGTGGCGCGATCTTGGGTCACCGCAACCTCCGCCTCCCGGGTTCACACCACTTGCCTGCCTCAGCCTCCCGAGTAGGTGGGACTACAGGCGCCCGCCACTACACCCAGCTAATTTTTTGTATTTTTAGTAGAAAGGGGGTTTCACCATGTTAGCCAGGATGGTCTCGATCTCCTCACCTCGTGATCCGCCCGCCTCGACCTCCCAAAGTGCTGAGATTACAGGCGTGAGCCACCGCGCCCGGCCTATCTGACCGTTTTTTACCTATAAAAATAGCAGTTGCCTATACTCCCAGTTACTTGGGAGGCTGAGGCAGGAGGATCCCTTGAGCACAAGCGTTCAAGACTGCAGTGAGCTATATAATTATTCCTTTGTTGTGGAACATTTAGATCATTTCTAAATTTTCACCAGTGTTGTGATAAACCTCTTTTAATGAATCTTTTTGGTCTTGTTTATTGACATATAATTTTATCATTTCCTTAGAATTCCCAGAATTAGAATTGGTGGGTCAAAGAATAGATACCTTTTTTTTTTTTTTTTTTTTTTTGAGACAGAGACTTGCTCTGTCACCCAAGCTGGAGTGCAATGACATGATCGCAGTTCACTGCAACCTTTGCCTCCTGGGTTCAAGCGATTCTCCTGCCTCAGCTTCCTAAGTAGCTAAGATTACAGGCGCCTGCCACCACGCCCAGCTAACTTTTTGTATTTTTAGTAGAGATGGGGTTTCACCATGTTGGCCAGGCTGGTCTCGGACTCCTCATCTCAAGTGATCCACCCGCCTTGGCCTCACAAAGTGCTGGGATGTCAGGCATGAGCCACTGCACCCTGCCAGGAGGTGACATTTGAACAGAGCCTTGAAGATGCTGTGTAGAAAGTCTGACAGGTGGCCAGGCGTAGTGTCTCATGCCTGTCATCCCAGCACTTTGGGAGGCCAAGGTGAGAGGATCGCTTGAGGCCAGAAGTTTGAGGCCAGCCTGGGCAGCACAGTGAGACCCTGTCCCTTAAAAAAAAAAAGAATTAGTAAACCTGGGAGGTGGAGCTTGCAGTGAGCTGAGATCCGACCACTGCACTCCAGCCTGTCACAGCGAGACTCTGTCTCAAAAAAAAAAAGAAAAAAAGGGAAAAAATTAGGCCAGGTGTGGTGGCTCACGCCTATAATCCCAGCACTTTGGGACGCCAAGGCGGGCAGATCATGAAGTCAGGAGATTGAGACCATCCTAGCTAACACAGTGAAACCCCATCTCTACTAAAAATACAAAGAATTGGCTGGGCGTGGTGGCGGGTGCCTGTGGTCCCAGCTACTCAGGAGACTGAGGCAGGAGAATGGCATGAACCCGGGAGGTGGAGTTGGCAGTGAACAGAGATCGTGCCACTGCACTCCAGCCTGGGTGACAGAGCAAGACTCCATCTCAAAAAAAAAAAAAAAAAGAAAAAGAAAAAATAGCCCAGCGTGGTGGCCCTTGCCTGTGGTCCCAGCTGCTCGGGAGGCTGAGGTAGGAGGATCACTTGAGGCCAGGGAGTTGAGGCTACAATGAGCCATGACTGTGCCACTGCACTCCAGCCTGAGTGACAGAGCAAGACCCTGCCTCAAAAGAAAAAAAATGTTTGATAGGGCATATGGAACAAGAGACAGGAACAAGAGGGAAGAGCATGAACAAAGGTATTGAAGAGTAGCGGGACACTGTGTTGGGAACTGAGTGGTGTGGACTGCACAGTGGTGGGAGGAAGGGCAGAGGAGAGTTTCCAAAAATAGCTGGGACCAAACTGGGAAAGGCCTTGAATGCCTTCCCAAGGAGTTAGGAATTTATTCCATACCTGGTGCCCATGAAGGAAGCAGATTGCTTCAAGGTTAAGCTCAGGCTTTGAAGACAGACTCTCCGGGTTTGGATTCAGGCCCTGCCACTTATTAGCCATGGGGCTGGGCTCACCCAGCCTCAATTTCCTCATCTGTAAAATAGGAGTAATAATCACAGGATTGTTGTGGGGTTTCAATGAGAGAATGCATGTAAAATGCTTAGTACAGTTACTGTCACTTATTTCTCAATAACTGCTGGCTTTGGTCATCAATAAAAGAGAGAAACAACATTATCAGATCTGTATTTAGAAGGCATTCTGGCAGATAGGGACAGATTTGGGCCAAAATCTCAAGCCAGTATTTTTCAAGGGTACACTAAACCTTGGTACATATCTAATTATAATACATTTTTTAAAAGCGTTAAGTTGAAACTGCAGAGGTTTTTTTTTTTTTCCTTTTTCTTTTTCTTTCTTTTTTTTTTTTTTTTTTGAGACAGAATTTAACTCTATTGCCCAGGATGGAGTGCAATGGCACGGTCTTGGCTCACTGCAACCTCTGTCTCCCAAGTTCAAGCAATTATCCTGCCTCAGCCTCCCAAGCAGCTAGGACTATAGGCACGTGCCACCACACCTGGCTAATTTTTGTATTTTTAGTAGAGCTGGGGTTTCACCATGTTGGCCAGGCTGGTCTTGAACTCCTGGCCTTGTTATCCACCCGCCTTGGCCTCCCAAAGTGCTGGGATTACAGGCATGAGCCACCATGCCCAGCCAGTTCTTTTTTTAGGAAAGTCATTTTAGTACACATGGCTAGCCACACATGGCTTGACATGGTGGGCGTGCTGGCATCCAGAGAAAGAGAGAGCCAAAGCTGTCCATCTTGCAGACCGATGGGAGGGAGCCAGGACACAGCTGGGCTTGCTCGTGCCCAGAGAGAGAACGAGTTAAGCTGCTTACACTGAAGGCAAGGGAGAGTCAGCTGCGCAGCTCTGTGTGGGGGCAGCTGGCTCAAGCAGGGCAAACAGTGTTAAGAGTAAGCTCCTAAGAAGAGAGCTAGTGTAAGAAAGCTGTCAATGAGAGCTGCTGCTGAATAAAACTATCTTTCACCTGCCTACAGCTCCCTGGAGTGTTCTTTCTGTTTACCCACCCACTCCCCTCAGACTTCAGCATGAGCAGGACCTGGACTCTGGGATCTGACACACATCTCTACTGAAAATACAAAAATTAGCCGGTATGGTGGTATATG